GTATTTATGTTATTTTGGGAGTCTGTCATTAACGTGTGTACGATATATACACACACACTCTGTTCCTAAGAAGACAATTAGTGTCATTCATTCCTATACTTATTTAAATTTTTAATTCAGTTTTTTTTTTTAAATGAAATAAAACATGACATTTAAAGGCCTTTATTGTATAGCTGTTTTTGCACATAAATAACATATCACGCCTGTTGAACTAAAAAACATGACATTTTAAAAGTTATTAAAAAGACATGATTGAAATTGATAAGTTTTTCCAGATATGTCACTTGATTAACAATTATTAATTAACATCATTCAGTTACTTCCCTCCTACACAAAACATTTAACTTTCTACATTTATTTACAATTTTTCTATATTCCGTTTCTACTTAGTTTTCATTTAATTCTTGAAATAAGTAGCTAATTTGGTTACAAAGTCGTTGGACTAATAAAAAATACTTGCATTAATGATCGATTTTAGGTCGACCTATACGATATTTGGTTTGAAAATTGAATTCAATTAATAATCCTTTTCTTCTTTTTTTTTAAGTTTATTACTGTAGTAGTGTAAGTGTAACAATACAATTGTGATCTTTATTTTATTTTTTAATGAACTATGTATTTAAAATTTTTAATAATCCAAAAATATAGAAAATATTTTCGCAATGATCTTTAACGCGTGTCTTTTTTCTTTCTTTTTTTCCTTTTTTAAAATCGTTTAATTTCCTTTTTGAAAAATGGAATTAAAAAAACTGTCATCTTCGTGAACGACGTTTACCTTTCAAACGAAGAAAATGTTGTAAACGTGATGTTTTCTTATTTCTTACCAGCTGGGGTTTCGATTTTAAAAACATATCTTCTTTAAAAAAAGAAATGTTTGTATATAAGTTTTTTTTTTTTTTTTTTTTTTTTACTTTGTAATACAAGAAGATTTTTCTTTTTTTCTTCTTTTAAAATTCATAATTTTTTTTTTTTTTTTTTTAATTTTTTTTTTAATTAACATTTCGTATTATTTGATTTCTGTTAGTACACTTCTATATCCAGGTTATTAACTTTAAAATCGATATTATTGTGTGTGCAGCTGACTGGTATGTAGTCTCTTCTTATCCTGTTTTTGTTTTTTTTTTTTTTTAGAGCTATCAATCAATGGAAACACTGTCAAATCGCTGGTGACTTTTTGGTAACCAAGTTGTCATTATTATTGCACTTTATAGTTCGTTAGACTACTGTCTCTTTTTTGTAATTACTTTTTTTTTATTGCAAATATTTTGCTCGGATAATAGATCTTATTCTTGCTTGAGTTTTAGCTATTTTTTATTTTTGTTGTCTGTTGCATTGTTTTTTTCAGTATAAGTAGAATTCACAACTTAAGGATTATATACTGAACTGTAATTGAGCTACCTAGTAAAAAAAAAAAATCCTTTTCTCTTTTTTTTTTTTTTTTTTTCTTAATTATAATGTAGTAATTATGAAATGTTCTCGACCCAACTAGCTTCCCAAAAATCTGATCAACTATCATTTCGAATTCCATTTTTGTCGAGCCGAAAACTCTTCGACAACCATTGGTATTTATTATTTCGACTATTTTTCTTGACTTTTTACATATAACTGCATGTAGATTGTAGACATGATTTAATAATTTTAATCCAAGTACACTCGACTTTTCTATCATCTCTAGCGTTTTTGTAGTGGGTGACATAAGGTCATCGTCCATGATCCGCTTTAAAAAATCACAAAAATAGCTGCAGAAAACATTCATTTCAATGTAAATATAATCTTCCTTATTAAATGAAAATTAAAAACATTTAAAAAATGTTTTTTTTTTTTTTTTTTTTAAGTAAGAATGGAAGATAAAAATCCTTTTCATCATAGTTATGCTGTGGTTGTAGGAAACATAATGAATTAATGCAAGTAAAGGGAGATAATTGGTTTCCAAGGGAGACAAGGAGCCATTTTACTGTTTTTAGCGATAAACGTTTTAGGTTAGCTGAAGTTTTTTAAAAAAACAACTCTTTTATTTTTTTATTTTTTTTTTTTTTTTTTTTTTAACGCATGAAAAGAAAAAGATGCGGCTAGAATGACTAGCATTAAAGAGAAAAATGATCAAATACTGTGCAGAATTGGAAGAAAAATATGTAGCTAAATTTGTCATAAAGGAACCCTACCCAAGGCGCACACTTGAAAGAGTAACATTTTGAAATCTATGATTACTAGCTTGTTTAGTATCGAAACCTGCTTACTGCCCCCTCAGTTAAGGTGTAGTAGAGGTTGATTTGTGATTTTGAATAGAAAAATTAATTAAAAACCAGAATATTTTGAAGAACGAGTATTAAAGTGTTAAGGTTAATTAAACGAAACACTAACAAACAGTTTTTCTTCTTGTAAAATGTAAATGCAATCAAGAGTTTAGGGAGGTGTACTAATTGTTTTTTTGTTGGTAGGTGGCACTAGGTTTTAAAAATTGTTTATTGACTACTGCTTGTTTGATTTTAGAACTTATTTATTTAGGAGTACATTTTTTACTATAGATTTTAAATGTATGACTAATCTCCAAAGAAAATCGTATACGTATTTTTTTTTTATGCGCCGTGTCCCTTCAGAACGTAGGCGATCATAGCCCTCCACATCTTACTGTCCCTTGTAGCTCTTAATAAGATCTGTCCTTTTGTTATTTCTGCCATCCATTTATCATTATGTATGTTTTCTGCTGCTTTCCTCTGTCCCTCTTTACCTCACTCTGTCTTGTGAGTATCAGGTTTTCCAAGCCCTCTTTCCTCATTGTGTCCCAAAAATTTCAACTGTCTCTTCTTGATGTTAAGTATGTTTTCTTTTTGTTTCCCTTTTCTCCAAAACCCCAACAATGCCCATGTGTTCCATCCATGGTATCCTCAGCATCTCTCTGTAGACCCACATTTCTGTTGCTTTAAGTCTCTTCTTCATCTGTGATGAGATTGTCCAGCATTCGCTGCCATACAGGAGGACAGTTCAGTACTCCTTTCTTTTGTTCCTAATGAAATTTTCTGTCTCTTAATACTCTGCTTAGCTTCTGGAATGCATCTTTGGCCATCCCAATATGTCTTTGGATCTAAGTGTTTCACTTTGTATCCTCCATTAGAACACTTCCCAGATATTTAGATTTCTCTACTTGTTCATAAAATCAACTTGACTTTAATATTCCTGATTTGTAAATTGCATTTTGGGCTCATTCTTTTGCTGATAACCATGCATTCTGGCTTGTAGCTTATACTTAGTTTTTCTGTAGGAAGTTTTTAGTTTACTTTTTGTGTCTGCTATCAACTGTCATCTGTATTTCTAATGTTAAGATTGAGGCTGCCAACTGTTCTTTTATACTGAACTAGATTACTGTTTATTTAGAATAGCATCTTAGTACTCAACCAAGTCAAAATAATCTTAAAGTTAATGTTAATTTCCTTATAGCCAATGGCAATATAATCAACTTCATAAACTGTGGAAGAGGAACTTAAAAAAACAAAAATAAAAACCCATGATATAGGTTTGTATTTTTATTGGATAGGAAAATCCATCTCCCAATCAGTATCTTCTCATTGTACTAACAGTTTGTTAGGAAGACCTTACTCCTCTAAAGTAGGCAGTTTTTTGTCACCAACCATATTAACTATATGTTACATTGATAAATATCTTATTGCTAGAGAAAAGAAAATGAATTGGTCAATTTATGTCAGTCTGTGTTTTCTGTATCCTTCCAATAAGTTTCATTAATTTTTCATTTTTCTTCAGTTCTTGATCCTTTTTTTTTTTTTTTTTTTTTTTTTAAATCAAAAGATAATGTCTTCTTGGCTGAAATTATACAGTGTCATGTTGATATTCTTTTTCTTCCTTAATGTCTTTATTTAATTTGTCTTCTATTAAAGATGAGAAATTCCAGCTTGCAAACTTGCACATACAAATATAAACGGTTGTTAACTGAAATCTAAATTTGATAGAAGTCTATCCAATAGCCTAAGTAATTTGCTGGATGGTGTTTCCAATTTTATTGAAGAAAAAAAAAACGCGAAACTGAAAATATTGTATATTTTTCTGGTGTTAAAGTTCTAGTTAGGAAAATTTGTGATTGAAGTGATTACTAAGTATCATTTGAATTTCTCACTAAATCTTTAGATTGCTTTATTATTAATAAAATCTCACTAAGATTATATTTTGAAGCCTAAAATGGTTACCAAGTAAAACCTAACAGATAAATCAACTTTGTTACCTGTATGAGAAAACAGATATTTTTAGCCTTTAATTTCTTTCCATTTTCTAAATAATTAAAAGAAAAGGTTATTTGCTTTTTGAGAAACAATATCTGCCTATGAAGATGTATGGTGAATGGTAATAATGGCACCAGTAAAAATGACTTGGTTACAACATAAGATTCTAGTTATTAAATTCTGTTTTTAAAGGTTGATATAAAATGTGATGCTCATATCTAAATATATTTGATTTTATTATAATTGTTTTTCATAAATTTTAAATGTATAAATTTATATTAACAAAAGGAGGTAAAACAATTTTTTGTTGCTAATATTAAAAAGTAAATTAATAAAAGGTTGTTTTTTTTTTTTTTTTTTTTTTTAACCAATAGTGTATATTTCAATAAACTTATATTTTCCTATTTTTTCACTTGTGCCATTTTAGCCAGGGCCATTATTACCTAAATTCCAACATGTACATTAACCAAAAATTATGATGGAATTAAAGATCTTAATATCTCTGTCTAAATAAGATTTCAGGAATGATGTAAAAGTAAGGTAGTCTACTATCAGCTGAAGCTGTTTGGTTTTGTATCCAAAATGACTACATTTGTTTGACAAATATTTCCATTAAACAGTGTACTCAGATTGCTTTTTTTTTTTTTTTTTTTTTTCTTTTGTCAGATGCCAAAAGTGGAGTGTACAAAAATGGTGATTGGTTGAATTTTCCTTGGACAATTGAAATTATTACTCTAGTTGTTTTAGAATTTAAAAAAAAAATAAAGTAAAATGGTGAGTATTACCATATTGAATATTTGTTTTTAATTTTAAGTATATATCTTTAGTTTACAAGAAGCATTATATAATGTTATTGGAATTGTATTGAGTTAACAATATTTTCAGCCCCATTAGATCGAGCCTAGAAGTTTCATTACAATTTGTAAAATTTTTTTTTTTTTTTTTTTTATAATAAAATTATAGTTGGTTAAACTTGCAGAACATATTGTTGAATTATATCCTGTAATAGGAAAGGATTTTTGTACTAATTAAAAAAAGAAGAGACAGTTGAGGTTTCTGGGGCACATAATGAGGAAAGAGGTATTAGAAAATCTGATACTACAAGACAGAGATAGAGGAAAACAATGCATAACATACTTAGTGAGTTTGACTAAATGGATGGTAGAACAGGACTTTGGAATAATAACAGAAAGACAAAGTTTATTAAGATCTACAAAGGACAGGAAGTTTTTGAGAACTATGATTGCCCCATCCTGAGGAGACACTGCACATAAAGTAAAATTAAAACAGTTTGATTATATTTGAAAATATTAAAAAAAAAACAAAACCAAGATTGTCCTTTTTCCCTAAATATAAACTAAAATAAAAACAGTTTTGATATAAAATGACCCTAAATAGGTGATATGCCATTAAAAATTCACTTAAACATAAACTCTTTCTATTCATGACTAGACAAAAGATTTCCCATAGTAGACCAGAGTTTCTTTTTGTGATAGACTGGTTGTCAACCAAAGCTATAGGACCCAGTCTGTCTTGCTATTCAATCCATAATCTGGTGTGTGTGTGTGGGTGGGGCGGTTAGAAGATATGGATTCATACCCTTTCCTAAGGGTATTTGTACATAAGTGAATTTAATGATTCTGACTGAAATTGGAACTTGGTACTCCAGTTTCTCATTTTGAGTTGTTATCTGTTACACCATTCTGCATATCCATAAATTAATAATGACTAATTGTACTAATAGTACAATTTTCTGATGCATCATGATACTTAATAGATAAGCTAACTGAGAGTTCCACAATTAGAAAATACCCATGGTAATTCCCCTGTTGTATTGTTAAATATTTGAGTTTAACAACTTTAGCAAAATATTGCAATAACAATATGTATGAATGCAGGTCATTATGAAAACATTTAAAATTGACAAGGTTTTCCATTTCACTGAAGCTGATGTTAAACATGAGCATTATCGCTTTTATCTTCCTTCTTTTTCCAACTGAAACTAAACAGTGTCATAATAGTTCTTTTCCATTTTTCCTTGCAGTCAAAATGAATAATCCATTATTTATGAGTTATTGGCTAGGTGTAGTGTACCTGCTAACTAAGGAACAAGCAGAATTATAATGTGATGATGGTGATATACTCTATATACTCGTGTAATGTGCAATGTTTAATTTAAATACAGCTATACTTTTTGACTAGAGTAAACAGATATATAGTTTGGTCAACGGTAGGTCTTCTAAAGTCGCATGATATGTGAGTATATATGGTACTTAAATTTTGGTAAAGTCTTGAATTCATTCTGAAAAATTTTCTTTTCTTTGGTGATTGTGTGACTTTTATTTTCTCATAAAATGTTTTCCAGTCAAGTACTTTTTGCCCAGTTAAAAATAGCTTCATATTATCTTTTTTCCTTTCTCTTTTGAGCTCAGTAAAATTGATTATATAGCCTTGCCTGATTTAAGTGTTCTCTTTGCACATACGTTTAAATAACACTCAGGGGATGGGCTTTGTTGTTAGTTTCAGTTTCTTGTCAAATTAAGCTTCTGCTTTCAAAAATTGATACTTTTTTAAAAACAAATTTTGAATTTTAGGAATGCGTCTGATTGCAGTGTCACCTTTGCTCCAAAGAAGATAAGTTGAATAGCTAAAACTGCACAAATATAAGATATAAAAATTAATGAGATAAATTTGTACTTTTAAAATGTTTACAATAAAGCAAGTTTACTCAGTGTCATTTACATAAACTGTTATTTTCCTTTTTTAAAATCCTGTACACTTAAAATAAGGAAACCTCTTTTTTATTAAAATGTCATTTCTGTGGTAGAAATACCTCCCAGATTTTAAAGATTGGTTAGTTAATTTGCTTTCTACAGATTATCAACCCATTGCAGGTTATTAAAGCCAGAAAATATTTTTAGATTATAAGAATTTTTTTTTTATTGGAGATGTTAATGGTTTAGAGATACAAAGCTGGGGAGAGAAGAGGTGGATTCATGCCTTTCCAATTCGAACTCGGCTCTCTGATTAACAATTCAGAGCCATTATCCATTACGTCAGCTGCACATCCAAGCTTACAGCATGTGGTATTCCCAACTGGTTTCCCATCTAGGTACTGACCAGATTTGACATTGCTTAACTCCAGTGATCATATAGGAACCAGTGTTTCAGTGTGATGTAGCTATAACCCATATTTTAAAGGTTGACCAAAAGGCCAAGGTAACTCCTATTAAAAAATCACTATTGTTTAAACAAAGAGCTTGTTTAAAAATGATATCCTCCAAATGGTGTCCTCTATTCACCATACACTGTTGTAAATGATTTATAAAATTTTCCATCACCTGGAAGTTTGAGCATTTCAAGGTATTCCAGGTGGCTTTCTTTTAAGTGCTGAGCCTGTGGTCCTGAAATTTTCAACCTACAGCAGTATTGATTTTCTATCTGGAACAGCATAATTTCAATATAGCATGAAATCAGCTTGAAAAGCTCTTGGAATTGCAGATTCACCAGTCTTAAAAAAAACGTTTCAAAAGCAAACACACAGTATGTACTGGTCTAAGCCATGATGGTAACTGATGGTATCTGAAAAGAAAATGGTAAGACATTAGCTAGATGAAAACATTGTTACTTGCCTAAGTTCATTAGCACCACACTAGTGATAGTTTAAAATGTGGGAGGTATTTCTGCCGCACATGTATAATATAGGTTTCTTAATATTGGACTGCTTCATTTAAAAATGATTCATTTATTAAATTTTCTTCTACATATATTGATGAATTTAATTTTGGTGATGATTAAACTGCTGCTCTCACACAAAGAAAGAAACAGAACAATCATAAAGATCTTTTTAAGCCAAGCTGCATTGATATTTTCAGTTTCTTTAAAAAAAAAAAAAAGCTAAAGTATCATATAAACTCATAAGTTGGAACCAAAATCCAAATTTATGGTCAGAAAAACAAAAAGATTTGAGCTTATTCATTAGCCTCAGTTCTATCATTATCAATAACTTCCTTTTTAATGATTAGCAATCTTTGATGTTTTTTTTTCTACCCCCCACCCCTTAAAGGAAAATGTAGAAAGGGTTGCTTCTATTAGTTTGTATTTTAAGAACTGGTTCATCAAGATTGTTCTGTAAACACTGGAAAAGGTGCTCTCTCTCTCTCTCTCTCTTTATACATACACACATATATATATATATATATATATATATATATATATATATGATTTTTTTTAATCATCATACTTCAGATTTTGTTCTGATTACCACCTTTTATATAGTATAATGATTTAAGAAATAAAAGAAGGGATTGCAAAATGTTTTTCCTAACTGAAGCCTTTGTTCTTTTCAAATATAATTTTGCTGTATGTGGTCATGCGTTATCATGATAGGAACACCATGCTTTTTACAGCTGATCTGACTGGGTTTTATAAGAAGAATGCACAATATTATTGGTCCTGATTTAGCATCTCAGCTTCAGTTACTTTCCCAACACCATAATGTAGCTTCCTGTGCCTTTTCTGTAAATACTTTCATGGTAGTTGATCTTTCCTCTCTTGTATTCTATCTGAATTTATGTGCAGTACTAGACTGGCAACAAGGTTTCATCATTTTATAGTCTAAATGGCTAGATGTAACCATAAGTTCTATGCTAACAGTTTCTTCTCTTTTGTGGAACTCTTTCAGCGCCATGCTTTCCAGCCAACTTTGACCTTCAAAAATTAAAGGCAATGTCAATTGTTACCTACTTTTTTCTTTTTCTTTTTTTTGTTTTCTTTTTGTTTATTACTCTTCATTTCTTGTTCTTGTTCCTTAATAATATTTGTTTTGGTTTTTTCTGTCTATATTTCTGAGATGAGGTAATATAATTTATTTATTTACATTCAGTAATCCTTTGTATCTTAATGGCTTTAGTGCCTTGTTTGGGGAGAAATGATAAAAAAAGCAGTGTCTAAACATTCTAACTCCTAACAATAGGTGTTGGTTGTAATTGTAACATTTGGTTGATAGTGGTAGTGACTGTAAATAAACCATGCCAACACAATCCCACCAAATGCTTAGCAAGACTTTTCTTGAGTAGATGTTCATTTTGTGTTGTGCTTTATCTATTGTTTGCATTGTTTTATACTCTTATAAAATAAATTTTTTTTCTTTCTTACTAGTCACTAATCTTTCCCAAAATATCAGCAGCAAAGTGAATTCATGAAAGTGTAGATATTCACTTTTGCTTTCTCTGTTTTCTGTCTAATCATGGGAAGTCATTTTTCAAGTTGTTGCAGATGATGGTGAACTGTTGAATAACTTGAATTTAACTTTTTAGATCATCAGACTAGGTCAGGATGCTCATATAGCATATCTTTTTTTTTCCCCCAATTCAGCAATTTGTTCGATTTTAAAGAATCTGATAAACTGGAGAACACAATGAAGAAACCAATATGTTTGTTCCAAAAAAATGGTAACTCACAGATAATAAAGAAAAGGAAACTCTGGAGAAGCAGGATTACTCATGTCCAAAAGAGGCATGGCATCTCTATTCTCTCTTTCTAGCCTTGATAGAGTTTGAAATTATTTATGCAGACTTGTAGAGGAAGACTTATTTTTTACTGTACAACCTCTTTTGCACAGTGACAACATTGCAAGTCTGTCACTACTCTATTGCTATTTCCATGGTAAATGTTCAGATGAGCTGAGTTTTTTAGTTCCATCAGTTCAGACCTTTATTGCTAGGACATGCCGTGCCACTTCCACAGAATTGAATCACACCCATTTCCTTTAT